TCCCTTTCCAGTGCTCAGATTATCTATCATCATCTCTTCATCCTTCTCCTGTCCCTTTGGCTGATGCGTCTCCTAAGGTTTTGTCTTTGGTCACCGTCTCCTCTTTCTGAGTTGTGTTATCCACTCCCACGTGACTTCACTTGTTATCATCTCTGTGGCTCTGACTACCAGATTTCTGTCGCTGCTTCCAGCTGCTCCTCAGAGTTCCACTCCAGTATTTCTACTTAGCTGCTTTATGTGTCTGTGTCTAGAACTTGCTCTTGCCTCTCACTTCCCATCCTCTTGATGATACTGTCACTTTCAGTTATAGACTAAACTGGGGAGTCATTTTTTGACTCTTCCTGCCCTTATCTCAGTTGCCAGTGTGATGGTCCTTATGTCTCCTATTCATCCTTTTCACTCTTGCAACCACCATATTTCAGGCCATCATCTCTTGTCACCTGGATTATTTTGTGGTCACCTTCTAATAGGCCTTTCTGCCTCTAGCATCACAGAATTTCAGGGCTATAATTGGCCACAGGGGAGAGGTGTACAAAATAGGGCATTTCTTTCCTGAAGTTGAAAGAAGTACTTTGAAAGCCTAATGTGGGTGCTAGTACCTCCACACAGCCTTCCTTAATCTTTTCTGGACAAATTGGTCTCATCTCTTTTTTCTTTAAATAGGGACTTTGCTTGTCCTTCATAGCACTTTTCTTGGACATCTTTTACATTTATCATAATCTCCTTTCATTTAAAATTTTTTTCAGTGTTGTTGTCCTTCCTTTCATTAGAATGTAAATTCTTTGAGAGCATGGTCTGTGTCCTACATGTGTCCTGTCTCCTGTTGTTGTTCAGCAGTGTCCTATTCTGTGACCCTATTTGGGATTTTCTTGGCAAAGATACTGGAGTGGTTTACCATTTCCTTCTCCAGCTCATTTTACTGATGAGGAAACTGAGGCAAATAGGGTTAAGTGACTTGCCTAGGGTCACACAGCTAGTGTCTGAGGTCTATCCACTATCCCACCTAGCTGCCTGCATCTGCTTCTGTACCCAGCACCTAACATAATGTCTTGATTTGAATTCTTTGGTGGAATCCTGTTAATTCTGAGGTCAGCATCTTAACTTTCCAAATGTTTACCTGTTTGTTTAAAATATTTAAATGCATCTATAATCTCTCATCAAAGTCAGTACTCCTTCCAAAATTTCAGATTGCAACCTATTCAGTCCTCATCCCATGAAATTTTTGTGCCTTTCTTCTTATACATCTTCCATAGAGAATCTGCCTGATAAGCTGGTGGGCCGGTCAATCAGCTAGCATTTACTAAGTGCCTACTTTTTGCCAGGTACTGTTCTGAGTGCTAGAAATACAAAGAAAGGCAAAAGACCAAAAACTCTTCATCATGCCCCTGGAAACTTGACACTGGAAGATCTGTAATTCATACTTTCAAAGTTACTTCAGTCCCCCTGTAATCTCTCCCTCTGATTAAATGTCTCTTCCCAGAACCTCCCTTTAAGGAGAGTGCCCAGCCAGCCATCTCTTCATTTCTTACCAGGCTGAAAATCTGGACTTCTCCAAAATCCCCCTCACTGGATACCTTCCTCCTCCTTCCTACCCCCATTACAATATAAGCTCCTTGAGGGAAGAGACTTTCTTTTTACTTGTATTTGTATTCCCAGAATTTATTATAGTGCCTGGTATATAGCAAGTGCTTAATAAATGTTTATTGACTTGACTCATTGGCAGTCCCTACTCTCTAGGAACGTACAGCCCAATAGAAGAAACAACAGGCAAACAAGACATAGACAGGATAAGCTGGAGATAATTAACAGAAGGAAGGAGCTAGCGTTGAGGGGGATGCAGAAAGGCTTCTTGCAGAAGCTGGAACTTCAGCTTAGGCTTAAAGGAAGCTGTGGGATCTAGGAAGCAGAGATGAGGAGAGGGAGAGAGCCGGCTACAGGGGACAGCTAGTGAAAGTGCCTGTCTTGGGGAGATTGACACTAGTGTGAGGAACAGCAAGGAGGCCAGTGTCATCGGATGGCGGACTATGAGGGGTTGGGAGGATGGGGAAGGTGGGAACGTTATGGAGGGCTTCAGAAGCCAGACAGGATGATATGCTTGATGCTGAAGGCAACAGGAAGCCCCTGGAGTTGATTGAACAGGGTGGTAACATGGTCAGACTTGCATTTTAGTAGGATCAGTTTGGCAGTTGAGCGGAGGGATGGACTAGTGGGGATGGAATTGGGACAGAAAGACCAAGCAGCTGGCTATTGCAGTAGTCCAGGCATGAAGGGCCTTCTCTAGGGCTGTAGCGTTGTCAGAGGAGAGCATACACAAGAGATGCTATAAAGGTAGAAACAAGATTGGACGATCGATTGGATACGTGGAGTAAGAGTGAAGAGTTGAGGATGCCACCCAGGTTTCGAGCCCTAGTGATGGGGAGGAGGATGGTGGTACCTTCCACAATCATAGGGAAGTTAGGAAGAGGGGAAGGGTTGGGAAGAAAGATATTTAAGATGGCCTGTGGATAGAGATGTGAGACTGGAGGGCACCAGAAAGAATAGGGCTGGCCAAGTCAATCTGAGGGAAATGTGCATAGAGATATTAGTTGAATCCATGGGAACGGATGAGATCACTGTGTGAAAAAATACAGAGGGAGAAGAGGTTCCAGGACAGAGCCTTGGGGCACATCTGTAGTTAACAGAGCTGACCTGGATGAGGAGGGCGAGGAAGGGAACAACATTTATTCAGTGCCTGTTGTGTGTCAGACACCGTGCCAGGTGCTTTACCAATATTATCTCATTCGATCCTCTCAGTAGTCCTGTGAAGTAGGTGCTATTATGATTCCCATTTTATAGTTAAGGAAACTAAGGCAGAGGGTAAATGACTTGTTAACTGTCACACAGCTAGCAAGTGTCTGAAGTTGGATTTGAACTCAGATCTTCCTGACTCCAAGCTCAGCACTTTAATCATTGTACCAGCCAGTGACTAGAGACCGAGAAGGAGCGGGAGAGAGCAGTGTCATGAAACCCTAGAGAGAAGAGAATCAAGGAGAAGAGGGCAGTTAACAGCATCACAGGGTGCAGAGGAAAGAAGAAGTCTGAGAAAAGCCAATTAGATCTGGCGATTCAGAGGGCCTTCTTCGCGTTTGATTGAGGAGGCCAGAAGCCAGACTGCAGAGAGTTAAGGAGTAGAGGCGTGAAGATGGCCTTCTCAGCAGATTTAGCCAGAAAAGGGAGGAGAGCTATGGGGTAGTAGCTGTCAGGGATGGGTGGATTACGTGAGGGATTCTGAGCATGGGGGAGACATGGATTCATTTGTAGGTAGTAGGGAAGCAGCAAGAAGACAGGAAGAAATGTTAAGTGAGAGTGGGGATGTTGGAGGGAGCAGTCTGCTGGAGAAGACAAGAGAGAATGGGGTCACTCAGGCAGGTAGAGAGGCAAAGGAGGAGAGCGGGGCAAAAGGCAGTGAGATGAGGTGAGGAGGGGAGAAGAGGAAGCTCTCAGGGAAATATGAAGCAGAATTCTCAGCTGAGAAGGGTCGGGGATAGGAGACCTACGGGAGATTCGAGGTGGGATGGAAAAGTTTGGGAGAGAAATTGTGATGAATGGGGAGGTCAGTCAGGCAAGGGTAAAAGGGTTTCCTCACCATAGCGAGGGCCCAGCTGACATTATTTGACATAAATTTGTAGTGGACCCAGATGGCACAGTTTTGTGATTTTTCTCCTTCATTCAGCGGTGCATGAATAAGAGCAAAGGCATCAGAAGGTTGGAGCAGTCCAGTGCTGAGGCTTGGCAAGGCCAGGTCTTTAGTAGGATTATTGGGTAAAAGACTCAAGAATAGAAGACAGTGGAGAGTTAAACTGATTCATCCAGGGTTCCAAATGGGGAAGAGAAGAGAATGTAGCCACTGCAGAATGACGTCATGGGAAAGAACTGAGGGATAGAGAGGCAAGAGGTCATGGGGAGGGTGAAGAACAGGGTTTGGGATTGCAAGGCAAAGGGAGAAGTAGAACTATAACAGATTGTGATCAGAGGAATTTCAGAGTTCGTGAACACCGAAGTGGTGCATTGGTGAGTAATGGAAATATCAAGGATGTGATTATCTCTGTGGAGCTGAGGCGGTGTGCAGGAATGGGTCATGGGAAATGAGTAAGTTGAGAAACTGGGAGGTTAAGGTGTTTGAGAAGGTATAAATATAAGTGTTGAAATCCCCCTAGTATGAGGGGAGCGTGAAGGAAGAGAGTAAAACTGTGAGCCAGGCAGCAAACTCACTGAGAAGGGAAGGAATGTTTGGAAGACAGGTAGATGACAGCTGCCAGAATTGTGATTGGGTGAGAAATATGGATTGTCTGAATTCCAAATGAAGGGAGGTTTTTGCATGATGCTGGTAGAGAGAGAGAGCCTGAAAGTCAATGGCATTGGGAATCAGGGGAATTCTGACTTTCCAACCTACCCAGTGAGTGTAGGAGTGGTGGAGGAGAGAGCCAGGCATCAGTGAGTACAGGAAGATAGAAGGAATGAGAAAGGAAAATGCTGAAGATAAAAGTGAGTTTGGAGCAGGCTTTCCAGAAGGCCCACTGGAAGAGGTGGTTAGCTTTTAGAGGGGGACGGTGGTGGGGGTGGACAAATGTGAGGTACCAATGTGGCACTCAGGGTGTCCATTTGTTATCTCTCATTCCCACTATGTGACTAGCCCAGTTCCTTCCCTAGTCATTCATGTTCCCAATAATGTCTTATGCTCCAGTCTTTGTGCACAAGTTATTGTTGGTAATATGTTGCAGTCACTCATCCCCACTTGATCTCCTTGTCATCAGTCAGTACATGTGCTGTAAGCTCCAAGATGAAATCGTTGCAGTAATCCTAAATGTTTGGGAATGAGGCCAGTTATTTCCATTCTTAGGTTTCAGATTTAGGTATCTCTAATTTTTAGCCTAAGAAACTGAGATATGATCAGGCTAAAAGACTTAAACATTTTTCTCAGGTAAAAAAAAAAATGAAAATGCAAAGATGATTGCTCAGAACTGATTTATTTTCCAGTACATTTCTTTAGCATACAAAATTATTTCTCACTTTAAGCATGTCTACAGCAGTTCAATTTATCATTTCCAAAAGTAGAAAAAAACTAAAATGTACATTTCAGTGAAAAAAATACGTGAACCTGTTTCCTTGAGTCACTATTAGAACTGCCACTTTAAGTTGGGACATCTCAGCTCCTCTCCTTTTCCCTAGTTCTTAATTTCCTCTTACAATGGCACTTAAGCTAATCCTTTGTTATAACAACACTATGAGGAATACTAATTCTTCCCTCACTAACTATAAGGTGCGGGTTTTTTTATCCAAAAGATAACCATGCTTTGTGTGTGAAATGATTCGTTACTCGGATAATTTCCTATAGCATTTATGAATTTGGATCTATCATATTTTGACTAATAATAAATGTTGTTAGTAATATATGTTGATGTCACTGATATAATTCCTGATGGTAACATGAGACACTGTAACCAAAACAAGAGATTCAGTCAGTTATAAGAAGGAAAAAAGCTTTTCACAGACACTGTGTCCCCACCTATAGACAGCAGAGCTGCTTGGTGGTTCTTGGGCGAGACATTTCGCTGAGCTAGTTCACAGATGAATAAGGCTGAAACAGGGAAAGAGGTTGTCTAGACTAGAGGGTGGGTTATAGGATCATGGATCTAGACCTGGAAAGGACCAGAAAGGCCATTTCCTCCAATGCCCCATCATTTTTAGAGTGGGTAGTGAGTGGTTTAGTGGTCATGAAAAGACTTAATCGAAGTTTTGAAGTCCTGTATGCTACTTTATGATCTTCCTTTTTAAGAATTCTTTTTTATAATTCTCTGTAAAACAAAGAGTTATCTGTTAATTTTGTCCTTCTTTCCAAAGTATTGATGTGACTTTAAATATTTGACAGAAAAGGAGAAAAAGAAAACTAGCAACAGTATCATTGTGGCCTACCTTCAGGATAAGCTTTCCTTGTTTGGATTCTGGATTCAAGCACATTTGGGCCATACCTCTTTTCAGGGTGACACTATTAACAGAGAATCAACAAGAGCCTTTATCAAATTTCCAAAGTCAAACTGAATAAATACCATTGTCTTGATCATCATCAAGTCACTTACATTATTTCTTTTTTGTCACAGCTCCCACTTGGAAAAATTATGGAGACCTTTTTAATGTTTTCTGGATTTACTGACTCAACTCTAGAGCTTCTACAAAGGCACCGGCTCCCCCGGAACATTAGGAAACCTGGAAGAGATATAAGGTATGAAGTAGTAATACTAGCAGTTATAATGCTCTGTATCTCTGTATTATGTTAATTTTGTTTATATATAAACTGTTTTCATTGGTGAAAAGAAAACAGTTTACTGTGCAGCACAGTAATAGTGTTTATTTTGAAAGAAGGGCGTAAATCAGATAATTACAAGTTTTAATTTCAAACTTAAGCAAAACATTAAGGAAAAAGATTTGGCAAAGTGGTATAGAGGAAATTTATGTGGTGCCCTATATTATGGTGGGAAACATCTAATTATTTCCCTTTTAAGAATTAACATGCTTACCTAACAAATTGGCAAAGATGATAAAAGGTGGGAATAATCTATATTGGAGGGAATGTGGGAAAATTAGTACAACCATTCTGGAAAGCACTTTGGGATTATACACCTAATAGATGCATACCCTAAGGCAGAGATTACACTGCTCAGCATCTATCCAAAGGGAGATCACTAATAAAAAGAAAGACATCATATATATAAAACACTTATAGCAGCACTTTTTATAATAGCAAAGAACTGGCAAGGTAGAGCTGTAGATTAAAGAATGGCCAAACAAATTGGGGTAATGAATATAAGAGAATTTGGCTGTGATGTAAGAAATCAATATGATGACTACTGAGAAGCCCAGAGTAATCTTCATGAGCTGATGTGATATGAAGGAAGCAGAACCAGTAAAACAGCATATACATACGATGACTATGTCAATATCAGTGGAAAGAAAAAACATCACAAAACAATCAAAAATGGATATTGTAAAATCACGAAGAACAAAGAATTTTTAAAACCTAAACTTAGTTCGGATTTTGGCTCTGTAATTTACTGCTCAATCTAGAAGAGGCATCTTGGTGTTCAAAAGCTTGCTCAGCTTTTCAGTTAGAGAACCTGGGTTCACATTACGATTCTGCCACTTGTTTTCTATATAGTGTGAGTGACTGACTATTGGTTGTGATCAAAAATGTTTTCTACCAGGTAATGTTATTGCCCCCAAATTTAAACTTGCAGAATTAAAACAGCTGCTGTTAGCACTTGCCTGATTTCATAATATGCAAAAAAGGTTTTGTCAGGGACAGCTGCTTTCTAAAGCCATGGATACTTCTAACCTTTTCTGCCAAAGGTATAGTGTTTGCTAATACTTATTACAAAAAGGTACTAGATTTTGAGCAGGTACTTTAGAATGAAAGAAGAAAAGGTTAAGATTTGAATCAACTGAGAAGAGAATGAGGAGAGTTAAAGGGTCAGGGAAGGAAGTATTCTTGGACCTAAGCAGTAAAAAAAATAGTTCTACTATACCGTGAACAGCAGCAGAAGAGAGGACTATGGCTAAAAGGATAGCCAGAACCTTCAGACTCATGTTCGCTGTTGCTGCTGGATCCTAGGAATGGTGAATTGGGAAAAAAGTTTTGAACTGTCATATATAAGTTCTACATACCTGTGCTGCAGCATGTGACAATCGGAATTTCCCTTGAGTCATTCCCTGTAAGGCTTAACTTCCATTTTTTTGTTCCTGTAAATGATTACTTTTACAAGATGTGCTTTTATTATTATTTTGCTAAAGTGAATATAAATGTTTTCTTTTGTTATTTTGAGGAATTATGAGTGGCTTCAAGCTCATTTCACCATTTTTGTTTCGTCTTTGAATTTTTGTTGATTTGAATTTTTTGTTTGTTTTTCTTTGAGTTACTGTTTATTGTTTAAAAATAAAAGAACATCGTTCCTTCCTATTTGGACCAGTTCTTTAAATTGCCTTCTCTATGTGCAAATCAAATCTAATTCAATAAGTGCTTATTAAGCACTTACTGTTATGCTGGGAACCCTGCAAAGCACTGTAAGCCATAGCCCTTCAGAGGCTCACAGTCTGTTGGGGAGAACACAGATAAGACAATACAAAATACACTATGTAGCCTACAATGTTGGTAGTGGTGCTGCTGCTCTGTTGGGCTGGGGGGGCTTTGTCGTGCCTGTTCACTCCTCCACACACTGCCCACTCTGGGTCAGGCCATTCCTTTAGAGTACTCCTCTCAGGCATGACTCTTTTCTCCAGCCAATTCTCTGGGCCCAGAAAAGTGGTTTCCTTTTCAACCTGGCATAGGAAGACCATGGGAAGGGCATCTCCAAGGCATCACCTCTCCTGGGAGCACAGCGCATTACTTCCCCCTCTGCAGAGATCCTGCTTAGTATATTGAAGGGCCTGACTCTAAGTTTTTCCCCCTGTTCTGGGAACTTAAAAAATATAAATCAGTCATTCTGTTCCTACAGCTCCAGCTTCTCTTAGCTAGAGAATTTCTCTGCTGAGCTATAAGCCAGTTGTAAAATTGATTTCTCCCTTGTGGCTGATCTCCCTTACACACTACCCTCCATTGTTTCCCTTGAAAGCATTTGCCCAAGAATACAGTTGGAGCAAATGTAATGGTTAACCACGTTTATTATACTTAAAAGGTGAAATGAAACTGAAAGCAGACAGAGAAGTGGAGTTACTAGGAAGTCTCAGTATGGAGTAGAAAGAGAGGGACCATAGAGAAAAGAAGGGAATGAGACCATGCAGTCATGCCTGCTGGCCTGACAGTCTATGCATCTCGCTGTTCCGGCTCAGCTGCCATTTGTTAGCAGTTGTTCTCTGTGGTTTCTTCTCTGTTGCGTTTCTGCCATTCTGTTTGGAGGGGCTACTTCCTGGAGCACACCATTCTCCACTTCTCTCATGCTTTCCTGCTCTCTCTACTCTACGGAAGCTCCTGGCCTCCTCCTTCTCCCTTAGGGTGGGACTGGCTGGCTTGTCAGGAGTCTGGCTGCGGCAGACCAGCTCAGGCCATTTCTTCAGGGGGCTGAGAATGGAAGAATGGTTCAGGCTTTCTGCCAGAACCATCATCAGGGGTTCTTTTCCATCATCTGAATCTCCTTTGCAATACCAAGGCAGCACTACATTTAGAAAGTTTGTAGCCTTTTGCAAAATTGGCCACAGTTTATTTGACATTTTCATTTACACAGCGTAGTATCAAAATAAGCGCCAGCACGTAACAGAACAAAGTATTCATCTTAGGGTGCCCTGAACAACAAATTTACATTAGTAGTATAATATGCACGAGTGTCACTTGACAGACTACTTGAGAGACTACAGGTCTAATCTACACGCACATGTCACGGCAGGACATGAGTATCCGTAGGACCCAGGGAAACATGAGTAAGAACAAAGCAGTTACATCATGTAGCCTGTAGAACAACAAGCGTGCATCAGTAGCAGTGTACACGCAAATAAACGTAACTGCATAACTAACAAGTGTAGCAATGGTACATACACGACTAGCACAGAAATAATCATGAAAGAATTATCAAACAAACGTACTCAAAATTCACAGATACTTTAGCATGTGTCAGCCAACAGGGGCAGTTCTTCTGATGCAACCCTTTTGGTCATCCTACCTATCTCACTTCTCCTAGTCTCCTTTGCTGGTTCTTTGAATTATTCAGGTTACACCCACTAACCATGGATGACTCTTCAGGAATCTGTCCTGGGCTTCTCCCTCTGCGCTATTTCTTTTTATGATCTTATTAGCTCCCATGGATTCAAAGATCATCTCTATGCTGATGAATCTTTTTTTTGGGGAGGGGTGAGGCAATTGAGGTTAAGTGATTTGCCCAGGGTCACATAGATAGTAAGTGTCAAGTGTTTGGTCTGAGGCCAGATTTGAACTCAGGTCCTCCTGACTTCAGGGCCAGTGCTCTATCCACTGGTCTACCCTATGCTGATGATTCTTAAATTGACCTATCCAGTCTTAGCGTCTCTGATGACCTCTCTCATTTCCAGTCACCTGTTGGACATCTCGAACATCTTCAACTGAATGTCTTGTAGATGTCTTCAACTCAGCATATACAAAACTGAACTAATTCTCTTTCCTCTCAAATCCATCCCTCAGCCTAACTTCCCTGTTACTATTGAGAACACTACCATCATCCCAGTGACCCAGACTTAACTGGGAGGTCATCTTCGACTCTACACTCTCTCACTAGCCCCTATATCCAATCTGTCCAATGCCTGTTGATTTTATCTTCATCACATATATTGTATGGCTCGCCGTCTCTGACAGTGCCACCGTCCTGGTGCAGGCCCTCATTACCTCATGCCTGAAGTATTACAATAGATTACTGGTGGAGTCTCATGGCCACAAGTTCTCCCCTCTCCAGTCCATCCTCCACTCAGCCTCCAAAGTTATTTTCCTAAAGCATAGGTCTGACCATCTCACCCCTCCCTCTGAACTAAGTAAACTCTAGTGACTCTATCATTTCCAGGATCAAATACAAAATCCTCTTTTTGGTGTTCAAAAGCCCTTCGTAACCTGGCCCCCTCAACCTATCTTTTCAGTTTCCTCCCACCTTATACCTCACGTCACCATCATGTGCTATGCCATCAGATGACATTGACCTCATGGCTGTGTCTTGAACAAGACACTCCATCTCCCAACTTGCAGCATGGTGCTCTGCCATGCCTGGAATGTTTTCCTTCCCCTTCTTCACCTCCTAGTTTCCTCCAAGTCCCAGCTAAAATCCTACCTCCCATAGGAAGCCTTTCCAGATTCCCTTTAATTCCAGTGCCTTTTCTCTGTTGATTATTTCAGATTTATCGTGTATATGTTCTTAGTCAATAAAAAAATAAATAAACATCGATTAAGGTCCTGCTATGCTCCAAATACTCTGCCAAGCACTAGAGATATTTATAAATAAGAAAAAGAAAGACAGTTCCTGCTTGTAGGAAGCTTACAAACTATTGGAGGAAGACACTACCCAAAAAAAAGCTGAAAAGGGAGAGGAAGGGTACCAGAGGGTGCTGGTGGAGGGACGTGATGTTCGAGGAATGTTAAAGCTGAAGCATTCTCTAGGACAATGAGTTTATCCTGTAAGAAGCATGACGTTGAAAAGACCAAGCAGAGCAGCTGATGGAAAACGGACTTGATGTTATTCAGACCTAGTCGTTTGCAGTGTTGCCTTCCCCATTAGACTGTGTGCTCCTTGGGAGCAGGGATCGTCTTTGGCCTTTCTTTGTTTCCCCAGTGCCTGGCACAGTGGCCTGAGGTTGGTTAGCCATACATTACATGGATAAACATTAGTATTGTCATCTGACTACATGTTTAATTAGTCTTCAGTTTCCCCTGTGATAGCCAAGTTAGACTGGTTACTGGTCAGATAGACCAGCTCCCTCATGACCTGTTAAATCTCTCTGCCTGGGTATTTGAGCTGGTTAATGGTTTCAGATAATCATAGTCCTCATCAGAATCAGTCCTGTATTCCTAAAATTGAATTTGTAGAAGGCTCAAATAGAACTGTTACTACACGCTGTGGCATAGAAGAAAAAAATTAATACTATGCATTTCAGGCATAAACTTTCCAGAAACAATTTTTATTGTTTTAATATTATTCTATAAACCAAGCATTTCTAGCTTAGAAAAATATTCAAAACTGGCATAGTACCCCCATGCCCTCAGACATCTCTGCTGAAGACATTTTGTTTATAGAAATGTTTGTAGAAATCTTGAACAAGGAGAAGATGGTAATATGTTAAAATATAGTTTTGGGTTAATAGTTACTACTCCGTTTCTTCCCTGGTCACTTTCCTCAAAGAATGAAAGGGCTTTCTTTCAGTCAGTACCAAGGGAGTACTGTGTACTAAGCATTTTGCTAAGCACTGGAAATACAAAGTAAGACTATTGCATGCCTTTCTGAGTGAGAGGAGAGGGCACTCCCCTTATAGGCCAGTATCAAATAAGACAAGAGGTATTCTCTGTTTAAAAAACTCTGGTTTCCTCTCTTAATCTGTTTCCGTTTAAGGCCTTTTGTCCTCAACCTCTAACCAACTTTTCTAAGAGGATAATTCTGGGAATCATCTTTAGACTAGAGAAATACTTCTTTCTTGATATTTCTAGGGGACAAGAAATTAATGTTTTTAATTTGCTTCCACTTCTCTATATCAAAGGATATCTTTATGCCCATGAAGTCATTATATCTATACTTTTATGCAGGAAAGGTACTGCCTCTAAATTCTACCTTTTCTCCCATCTGAACCTGGTTGTTGGGTTTCTTCCAGTGCACCAAGATTTCTTTTGGAATGTCACTTTCTGAGCCATTGCCTGGATTAGAAATTCATTGCACAACTGACAGGTGGTCTCTTTAATTTAGAGTAGGCTTAGGCAAGAGCCCATCAGTGTCTATCTGCTCATCAAGGAGGCCAACGAAGTCACCTGTGACTGCAGTGAATTGTCTTTCTAGGAGCGGAGTCAGTCTCTGGGGCTCTCTTGTAAGAAACAAGTTGCCTAGTTTAGTGAGAGTGGGTATGATGCCCTGATAATTTATTTGTCTGTCCCAGGAACACCAGAATTTCTTAGCA